TTGCAGAGGAACAGCAATTGAACCTCCAGGTTAAACATCTGCCAGTGTTTGGAAAGGCAGCGCTGCATTAGAGAGCACATATATAAATACTATGCTCAAGGAAGCTTCGTTAGCCAAAGGGTCTCATGTCTTCTAAGACTCCCCGACCAACATGGAAAGGACTCRTGTTTCATATTTCCCCTTTGAAGAAGGAGGGGAGGCTCTGCTGGGTCTGTGATCAACAGGACCAAAGGAAAACTTTGGGCTTTCACAGATTCACAGATTCACAGAATATTTAAGGTTGGAAGGGACCTCTAGAGATCATCTAGTCCAACCTTCCTGTTCCAGCAGGCACACCTAGAGCATGTGGCACAGGGTGGCAGCCAGGTGGGTTTTGAAGACCTCCAGAGTAGGAGACTCCACAACCTCCCTGGGCAGCCTGTTCCACTGCTCTGTCACCCTCTGTTCCCTGCAGCAGCGACACTGTGCACTGGGAAGAACAACGAGGAAGCTCCATGGCACTTTCTSTCCCGTTGGAGTCCAGCAAAGAGCAGCACTGACATGGCCTTCAGGAGGACATTCCCGTGCCACAAGAACTAGCAACTTACACAAAYCAGATTCCCTCTCCAGAAAAGAGAGGGAAGCTCTTTGTTAAATYGGAGCAGAGCTGAAGACAGAGACCCCGCTATCCCAACCCATCGGTTGGGGTCACGTTTCCCTCCAGCAGGCCACAAACTGTTTGTGCAGGTTTTCCCGCATACTCCCATCCAGGATAGGATCACATCCTGGATCACAGGATCGATCCCAAGACGATGGAGCTCCTGAGAGGCCGGCAGGCGTTGGGCAAGTGCACACAAAACGAATGCAGCAGCTACCAGCGGCCGAGCAGGCGGCTCCTCCGGAGGCAACRCGAGCGGCCCTGAGCGCCTGACCGCAGCCTGCAAAGTTCAACCATCACCTTTCTGTCTGTTAACATGGCGAGCTACAGAAGCCTACACAAAATACTGAGCATGAACAAGATTTCTTCTCCTCTCCTTCTCCTCTCTCCTTATTCAGTGCTCTGATCACTCCAACCTACGAGGTAGCGGCCAGTCCAAGATGGTCACAGGAAAAACACCACCACAACACACCCACCCTGCCATTGCAGTCCACAGGTCCTTCAGGGTTCTGCAGCCCACAGGTCCTTCAGGGTTCTGCAGCCATGATCCAGCCCCTGGGACACAGCCCATCACATGCACACGGGCGTCGGCAGGAGGGAAAGCAGCCCTTCCAACCGTCCTCATGCAAGAGGTGCTTCCCCTGGCTGAAGAAGGGCCAGCACCAGCTCCAGCAGCCTCCCTTACCGTGTCCTCAGAGTGCCTCCTACCAGCTTGATCACCAGAGAGGTGATGGACCACAGAGCCCAGAGCTGGGCCTGGCAGCATCAGGAACCATCAACGTGCCCTTGCCTTAGAGCCTCTGTTTCTCTCTACCAGGCAGCTGCACCTACTCATCAGAATGGAGCAACATCAGCGAGGAGTTGTTGAGAGGTCCTCTCATGGAGAAGCTCGGCCAGGATGGCTGCATCCATATTTTCCTTTTTTCTTCTCCATCCCTTGCTGTGGATCAGCGTAGGGGTGTGCGGTGGTGATCACTGTACTCTGCATCCCTCAGCACCAGGTACCACAAAGTCAGAACGATGGGAAGCTCAAAGACTTTGGCGGTGGAGCCAAAAGGGAGACTGGGTGCTCAGAGAATAAGAAAAATTAGAATTGAGAGAGATGTCACATGCATTCGCTGGGAGAAGATCTTCCCTGAGGTGTTGATGATCAAAGTGACCAGGAACCAAAAGACTTGGGTGACATCTCTTATCCCAAGGAGATTCCTTCAAACCTGCTCCAGGAAAGCACAAGTGTCACCTTAACTCYGACCAAAACCACTTCTCAGGAAGCAACAGACTTCTAAAGGCAAATTCTCATTAAGATTTCCGTAATTGCATTTCCCTTGTGCGGGCTGGGGCTTATACTGTGCAATTGCTTGTAAATAATGGGGCTGGGAACATGCCAAAAGTATTTTTCCCCCAGGATTTGAACTCTTTAATAGAAGTCAGTGTAATGCATGAAGGACAGGATTTACTATCCTGTTGAATAAAGTTTGTTATTACTAATGATGACACTTCTGGCAATTCTTTCTGTCCTTGCAATTACCCATTCTCCCTTTAAATCTTTCTCAGGCTATAACCTCTATTACTTCCAAGAGCAGTGAGTTACATTGATTATTCGAAAAATATTTCTGTGAGATTTGAATTTGTCACCTCTTCATTACAAATAATAAAAAAAGTTACAAGAAAACAGAATTTATCCATTTTTTTTCTGTGCTTGTCATCATTGTGAGTATCTTAACCCTCATTATCTTCTGTTTCTCTGTAGTCTTTCCACTGCCTAATCATTTTTGCTACTATTTTCCAAACCCTAAGGAATCTGCATAAAGTGTTGGTCATAAATCAGTTCCTGACTGATCCAGTTAATGGAGAAATCAAAGTTCTGCAAGTACTTCACTTCAAATATATCTTCCCTTTACCTTCAAATCTGTGGTCACTGTGGTTCTTTCAACTGTCTTGATCAGGAACATCTGTGTCCTAATTTTTTYTGGTGAGCCTGATGACTTCAATGGCCTTCAGCATTTTCTATTTCACTGCCTTTTTCCTTTTCCACTGCAAACTTACCAAGTTTTGAAAGCTAAAAAAACCAGAAGTCAATCTTAACCACTTAAAATCCTMAGAAGATTAAAAACCTCAGAAGACTATTTTTTTTTCAAAATACATAGTCTATTATAATAGATTGGTAAGAAAGTTAACATTTACATTGTAAACCTCTTCAAAGGTGTGTATGCACATGACAAAGACTGATTTGGACAAGTCTGCTCTTACAATATGAAGATGTTAACAAGCTATTACCATAAGTCATGTATGTTGTCAGCTTCTCAAAAAATAAAGACCTGTTACTGTGCTCTGAAAATAARCTTGATGCTCACACGTTATGACCAAGATACAGTCCTAAGATATCTAAATACTTCAGGAGAAATAGAAAATCTCCTTTAAGAAACCTAAAATATCCTGATAATTCCCTGAATTTACGYGCAGAATTCCCATCAGATTCAATAGCACAACTGCTGTTAGTGGTGYAAGCATTAAAGTAAAAAGGGACATGTAGCAAAACGAAACTCAAACTATCCATTTGATTAGCATAGTAGCGAGACTTTAACATAGAGAAATGTATCAGTCTTCCTATTTGCTTCTTGAACTTAGATTTGCAAAGCAGATCTAACCCAAGTCCATACTGAGCCATAAAATACACAGGATTTATTTCCCCAAAGAGTAACAGCAGAAAGCAACAGCAGCAACTGCCTGTTGGCCAGTCTATGACTAACTTCCATCCTCCTCCTTCACCCATAAGAGGAAGAAGGCTCCTTCCCAATACTATATCTTTTCCCTTAAAATTAAGGCACTGTACCTCCTGTTGCAGATGCAAAGCACTAAGGAAAAGCACTCAGAGACTGCAGAGATCAGTACTGGATTCATATCAAAGCAGTAAGTTCCTGTAAAGCAAATGCTTTAACATTTTAAAAGCACTAGCTATGCACTCATCCTCCGGCATGGGAGAAGTCCCTTGGATTATGGAAACAGTCAGACTTGTGCTATCATTTAGGAAAGAAGACCCAGTGCACATACACCGATACTCAATGCTGTTCCTCGTGTGCTCACACTGCTTCATGCTGGTAACACACACCACGGCACGGGAGACAGGCACAGCCCCTTCACACCACGGTCAGCATAGAAAAAATTCCAATTCCTCCTCTTCTTTCCTTCTTCAACAGTATCTAGGAATTCTTCTGTGGGGAAAATGTCATTTTTAACAGTTAAAATCTGATGTACAAAACCCACTACATTACCACAGCACCCAGCAGCCTGACCCTGTAAAGTCCTTGCCTTAATCTTTACACTCTGCAAATAGTCTCTTGGTTCCAGCTGCCATAGAGAAGTAACACAGCTGCAAGCTTCAGCRGGGATGAGGAATCTGGGATTAAGGACTACTTGGTTTTATTTTAATAAATAGGCACTATAATTTGCAACAAAGTACAAATCTTTTAGCAGTTCTTTTCCACAATTTCTCCCCAGCCTAAAACAACAGAAATGTTCTGGAACAGGCAGAACACTGAGAATTGGCAGAGAAATCCAGGCAAGTGGCCTGCCTGCTTTCTGCAGGAATTGCAGCTTGACAGGCGCACGCTTTAAATGCCAAGTGGGATCTAAGCATTTGTTTGGGCACATGCACGTACATGCTTCATTCTTCAAGAGAAGCAAATACCACATTTTTCGCTACTCAAAACTAGGCACATTTTAATTAGAAGTAACTGGATTTTAATGTATTTCATCTGTGCTAAGTATCAAGCTATTCTTTTCAAACCACGATCGCGTTTCCAACATTCATTCTATGAGATCGTGGTCTCTTAAAGACCTGTTGAACTAATAAAACAGGTCCTGCCTCTGCTCATTTCTTCTTCTTGTATTTAGTTACCATTTCCCACATGAACCTTTGTTACTTAAGCAGCATTTTGGAGTARGGATGTTGCACTTAAAGATGGTAAGGTGCATCCTATCTGCTTTCTTAAACTGATGTTTATCAAACCTTCTAAGAAAATGTTGGGTTTGTGACACTTGGCTGTTAAAATGAACTGCACTGCAGACAAAAAGCAAGCCCCCCTTAGRCATTCATTTACGCAGTGAATACCTAACACTGCTTTTACCTCAGATCCCGACCCCTAAGCRGGGGGAAGGTTCTCTGCACTGTAAGCAAAAGCAGTTGCAGGAGGAGCCCAGAAGTGCATGGGGTTCATGAGGTACATGAGCCACTCCACAGTAASTGCCCATGCCCATGGCAAATAATACCCTTTTTTTAAATAAAATGCAGTCCTTATTTATCTTCCAGGTTGAAAACGATCCAACAATAACCCTTAAAACACCACCACAATGCACTACAATATTCTTTTATTTAGTTTACAGAAGAGTCTATCAGTACAGGTTGCAGAAAGAAAATGTTTAGTGCTATTTACAATTTGTTTTAAAACTCTGCTCTATACAAATTTAATTCTGATCAGTATGAACAATATTTTTGTAAATCTACTGCATATAAAGCATTTCATCAAAGCAGTAACAATGGATAAAATAACCCGATTACAGTTGAATGATGCTGATCATTCGAAAAACGATTACACTGAACATCTGTAAGAGTTGTGGACACTTAAGTACAAGAACACAATGTCAACCTGTGACTCATTGTTTTTTTAAAGGCTAAAGCTATTTATATGGAATATTGTTCTATTATACTACACGCCAATCTATATTTAACTTCTATAGTTATGTATTTTATAAGATTTTTATTAAATATATTCTACACATATTTGTAATTTCAGCCAGGAAGAATTCCTCCCCAGTGAAAAAATATAAAATCTTTTATATTTTTTACAGGTTTAGATGAAACTAGCTCATGCTTTAGTGCTGTGCAAATTTCTTTAGCATATCAACATTTAAATTATTGATATGAAATAAAAGAATGGCATCCTTTTTAATTATGTATGCCTTCAAAAAATCAGCTTCTGATTTTAATACAATTGCAAGCACTAATACCAAATGCAGATTACAGAAAGAAACAGAACTAGTAACTATGGCAGAAGGTTTTGCTTTTTCTTCTTTTTAAACTTTAATCCTTTTGAAGTCTCTAATGAGTAAGCATGACACTGGACACTAAGGTACAGATGAGAAAATGACCGAAAAAACACCAATTGCCAATATTCAAATACATAAAACTGATTAGTAAATGATGACTTCTAACATTTATGCACAGTAATAAAAGCCTATGAACTACAGGAAATTACCCCTCCCATATTAAGGCTAGGAAATGCACTCTCTGCACTTGCTTGTGCTGTCTGAATAAGCACTCCCCACACGAGCTAGATGAGAGTGCGCGCGGTAGTAACGAAAGCAGGTCGGTTTCATCAGCCCTCTACAGAGTGCTTTTAAATTACAGGCACATAGTTGCGTTTGCTGCAGTTAAAACATTTCTAGTTAGGCTTGGTTTAGTTAGTATGCTGTGCCAGTTCGGCCACCAAGGTTGACTTAGGTAGAATTGACTTGAGCAGTTTTTTTTCCCTTCCGTTTAGGCATGACATTTTGTTTTAATTACAGATATGCTCTTTTCCAGTGTTGCATTATACATTGTAGGTTATTCCTAAGTGTCTGAACTATTGTTAGAGGTTGTGGATGAGAAACGTACTGTCAACCACACTTAGTGCAAATTGCATCTAGAAAGCTTCACTGGTTAGATCCGGTTAATGGAGACTTTTTGCTGTAGCAAAATAATTCCTGCTATGGAAAATAACGCATTAACTTTTCTGGAGACTTAATTCAGTCAAGAACCGATGTACTGTAAGATGATATAACAAACAAAAAGCAGGAATTAAAAAAAAAATCAATGAAAATGTTCATAGAGCTTTCTCTTTTTTTGAAGAGGAAAAAAGACTAACGTGACAGTGTTCATGTAATATTTCAGTTCCATGGATTTACAGACAGGCTCTTCCTACAGGTGTTTGAAGCAAGGTAGGGCCTCTTCTATTCCAGCAGCATGAAAGACAACGACTATATTACATCACACCTAGCAGGTAAAGCTAACAGGGCTTACAGGATTACACAGCAATTGCTTTCTCCAGTTTTTTCACGGTTCCTTTGACCTGTGGAACAAAAAAAGGGCTTGATTACAAGCGATTTCTAAAGCAGGTTGTTCTGCGCATGAATAAGCCTGATAAAAAAATAAAACCACCTTATTTGTAAGGATTTTTTATTATTAYTATTACTATTAAATACTTGCATATATATATATGTGAAAAGCAGGAATACTTCTACAATAAAAGCTAAAGCTTCCTAAGGGTTCTGAGGGGTTCTGGGTTCATTTCTGCAGTCTATACAAATACTGCAGTTTCTCCTTTCTTTGTTTTCTATGAACATATGAAGTACTCATGGACCATGCGGACACTTCCCTGCTATGAACTATCCCCAAAGCCCATGACAGTTCCAAACACCTTTCCATCTTGTGTCTCTGGAGCACAGCCTACCTTGAGAGTTTGGCTCTGGCAACGTCTCTCTAGCCACCAAGTGCATCACTGTTGTTTTACCAAAGGGGAGTTTTAATGCTGCAAAAGGAGAAAGGGAGATTTATTAATATTTCAAAGATACCATCTTTATGTAAGACATATAGACAGTTGAAATTGTAGCTTTTCTTGGTTTAGCTCCTGTGAAGTTTGAAGTGCTTTCTTAATAATTATCTCCAAAGGCATTTCATCTGACAAAAGCTGTACAGAGTAGGGTCTTAGGACAGGGTAATAATCCTATAAAGCACCATGTTCCTAAAGATAACGATGTTCCCCTTATGAAGCTTATTCTTCCTCCTATGAGTAAAATTAACACAGGCATCAATGCCAAGATTCAGGTGCTAATCATCCTCTACACAAAACAATACAAGCAAATGGCTAATTCAAGCCCTACATTATAACATTCAAAATGAAAAAARGAAACCACCACAAATAAATACAAAACAAACAAGCAAAAAGAGCCATGACTGCTCTTTTCATCATGCAGATTTTCTGAAATATGTCTGCATCTTACATTTTAGTATTAACCTATGATGTCAGCATCATGTGAAAAAAAATCAAATTAAAAACACATCAGATAAGGTATTTCTCCTTATGCTGCTTATCTGAGTTTTTTTTTAAACACATAACAAAGTTAGCAGTAAGTAGAACAAACTATTGAAAGCTCTGAAACTAAAATGATTAAACTAAACTAAAAAAACCGTGACTCGACTTGAAGCACAGTCTGTGCCTGAGACGAGGAGCTACTAAAAGCTGCAAGACTGAAATGGATAAAGTATTTTGAGGACATGATTCTTTGATACAACCGAGAACTTCACCAAGGCTATATTAAGTCAGTTAAACTCGGTGCAAAGGGCTTTTCTTTATTACATAAACTCCTAAGAAGCCATTACAGAAAGATCACAATATTACAAGCTAATCACATTATGGCTATCTTACATAATATCAAGACATTTGAGGAGACCTGATTAYTGAGCAGTGGAGATTAATTATTTGTAGTAGTTAAGTTTAAAGTATGCTAATATTTCAATTAATTAATTTCAGCTAATAGGTTGCATAGTTCATACAGAGATTCCTTTCAGCAATTCCTGGGAGCACAAAGTCAGCGCACTCCCAGGGATGCTCAGTGACCTTTTTCTGATGCCTTCCTTCTTTCACCTCTTTCTCTCCCTTAAGCTGAGTCTTTATTTCATTCCTTTCCCATCTGTTTAATTCTATTTTTATTCCAGATTTTCTGTCAGAATTCCACCCTCTTTTTTGATGAGTATACACGTGTGTGTGGSGGGGTTTCTGTCGCTGCTTTATTCACAAATAAGAAAGCAAAACATTGCCTAYTGCCTTTATCTAGCTGGAAACAGCACTGACACATACAGCGTCACCTCCCTATGAAATATTATTTCAAGTGCAAACTGCAGCCCAGATGAAATTTCCTGTTGGAAGCTGAACAACCAACTCTGGTGTGCACAGACGGGAAGCAACCAGGCAGAGGCCAGCGAGGCACAASGGGCTTCACAGAGCTCAATTCTCTGCCACCACTTCCAGTGCTATTAGCTCTCTTGCACATGTAGGCTCAAGCCATTCAGAATATGCACTAACACATGGTGGTCTAGGACAGGGTTTATTTAAAATAGCTTTTTTCACTTTATTTTCTTAACAATTTTTCCCTTTTTTTGAGGTTTGTCCAGTAAAGGAGCTTCAGGGTTGTAAGATTTTACACGGAAACGTAAACATTAGGTAACAACTAGAATCTTGCAGCACCATTCTTTAAACTTGGTTGAAAGTCTACTCTGAGGGGGAAAAAAAAATAAAATCTGTTTCCTTTGAATTTTGTTTCCCTAGTTGCTAAAGTGTCTTTCAATACGGATTAAGTCCAAATTCCAGTCAGTATTTCCTAATCACCTAAACCAAATAAAACACTAGTTATAAGTGACTGATAGAAAGGCTTAAAGAAACTGTATTATAAGAGCAGAAGAAACTAAATATTGTGTTTGATGGGGAATTCTACTTTTTCTTTTCCAAAAATACCCAGTTCAGTTAGGGTTACATGAAGTGGATACCTCAAAGTGAAGTAACAGCCTCTCAAACTGCCTCATGGGTCYCTGCTCCCCTTTCAGCTGCATAGTCTTACTCCAGATAAACTTGTTAGYACTGAAGTAAGCCAACATTTTAGGGATTTTTTTAGAACAATAGAGCAATAAAGAGACCTTTGAAGAACTCTACTGTACATGTAAGATCCTTAGGGTGAAATCATTATGAYTGAGTTGCAATGCGTGAATGATTAACAAGGAAATAAAATGCCCTGAGCCCAAGTATGTGCTCAAAAGCCAGAGCCCTGGGTTAACGCAAGGAGGAGCACGCAGCTATTATTTTTCAGTATAACTCCTTAATCAAATATTCARAGTGGCTTGTGTTTTAAAAGATATCAGTGAGGGAAGCAAGTCCTGGTGCAACAGAGATGAATGGCAAAGAAAGTGCCATTGAGCTATYCTTGTGCGGAAAAGCTAAGGTCAGGCTCCAGAGTTTGGGATCCTATCTGTGACTAACACACTTGGTTTTCAACTCTAGCCCAGTTCCTGCGGGCTGCACCCATCAGCAYCACACAGACACGCAAATTGCAATTGCAGGGCGAGGGAAAAAATCAGGGTTCACTCAGCTGAATTTACAGTGRTCTTGTTGATATACACAGCAACATTAAAAATGGATTTATATGGAGGGTTAATGCATTCTAAAGGCCCATCACCAGCTGATATCAGTAATGTTGAAAGCTAATCAATGGCTGTATTATCCCTGCCACTACTTAAAGGAAAGGTTATTATAAGTGGTAAATTTCATTTTAGATTTATTTTAGCTTCAGAAAACACTTCATTAGTGGTTTCATATGACATTATCCCTTCTATATTGCATTCAAGTACAAACACACAAACGTATATAATCAGTACACAGAGAATTAAGTAGAGATCAGCACAAAAAGTCTCATTTGGTATAAACAGTGATATATTCGATATACATAGTAGCAGCTTTCAGCTACAGAAAGACAAAATGTTCCAGTTTTGTTTCCTATTCCTCATCACAAGGTCAGGAAAGCGCGTGCCGCGAGGGGGCACAGTTGAGTTGTGTTTCCTCAGCACAACAAGGGGAGCCATTGACTTGGGTCTTCACAGAGCTATGGGATTGTATCCCTGGGAGAGCACTGGACAGCAGGAATGCTGCCCCTCATTCCCATTCCCAGGCATCCTTCGTCATTGCACTAAGATTTCATGTATTGTTTAGCCAACTATCATAGTCTTTACCCAACGTTTTTTAAATTCCTAGGTGCTTATGCAGTGGCTTGCCCTGCAGCTGCGGTGTAAGAAAAATGCTCCAAAATATCCCAGGCAGTAAGATGATAAATACCAGCAGCATTGCTGTTCTTCATGCAAGAGACCTAACTTACCAGGTGACACCTTCTGAAGCCTGACAACTAAATATAACAGGAGAGAAACAAAATAAATACCCCCAAAATCCATCAAATCCATTTGATGCAGTAGCATAATAGTATATAGTAAATCATATCGAGATGCTGAACGACAAAGTAATATTTACTCTATTTTAAATAAAAATTTCTTCTGCCCAGGTAACCTGTAAAATAGAACTTATTGTCATTACCTCCTAGTGTGACATTGCCATGAAGAAACCTCCCTTGATAAATAAGCCGCAAAATATTTGGACTGCTGACCTGCTCCTCTTCCCAATCTGAAAAGAAATGAATTTTCACTGTTACACAGTAATAAAAACATCATTTATTATTTTTCTCACCTTTGCCTAGAAAAAAAACTAGAAGACGACTCTTCCACATTAAACACTAAGGAGAGCATATCCTGAAGCATATTCCTAAGGATCTATTCTTAAATTTATCATTTGATGTTGGGTTTTAACATATTACTTTAGGTTCTTCACATAAATGCTATTCACTTATTCACAAATAGCTTGCGATACTTGATGCTTACACAAGTCGGCCAAGAAATACTTTGTAAATACAAGTTGCTTCCTGTTTACATTCGGGCTCAATATCCACGTGGCTAATGAAGCCTCCTGGCCGGCCCAGTCATCTCTGGGAAACGTGACCCAGGAGCAGGGAAGGGACAGGGAGAGACAGGGCTGGAGGGCACCCTGAACAGGGCAGCCCCAGCTGCTGTGCAGAGGCTGAACAGAGAACTCAACAGAGGAGACATTTAATGACACTTTTGAGAAAACCCTTCCAGAATCATCTGTATATGCGGCAAAAAAAGTGATTTGGCAAAGGCAGGCAGTCATTTTCCTGTAAYGTGTTTCCTGCGTTTGAGCTGTTATAAATCATTTATAAACCTTAAAGATCATTTCCTACTCTTTTACCGTTCCTTGTCACAACGTGAACAATACATACACGCTTTGCTTTCAGAATAAATATCATAAACCTGTAAATGCTGAATTCCAGTTGGCTCTCTGGGAATACAGGATCCTCTGTTTCTTAGCTGAGCAGCTATGTGGTACCAGCTGCTCACAAACGCTCCCCTTTTGGGCTTTTGTAGTGCTCAGAGGCCACAATGAATATTCAGCGAGGGATCAGAGCAGACAAGAGGAACCAGCCGCTTTACCCAGAACATACAATTAACAGGCAGGCAGTGGCAACTGGCAGCACAAAAGGAGGAGGACTGAGAGGGAGAGAACGGGAGGCATTTAGAAGAGGGGGGGGAAAAAAGGGAAAAAACAAAAGAGGGGAAGAAAAGGAAAAAAAAAAACAAAACAAGAAACCAAAGCACGAAGCATCTGGTGAGGACAAGACAGCAGAGGAGGAGCGCAGCTGTGTCCTCGGGGTGAGGGAAGAAAGAGGAAATCCGTCCAAGGAAAGAGGAAAGCTGGATGTTTCCTCCTAGGTGTGAGGAAACCCTTATTTAACATGAGTTAACCCAGCAGAGGAGGGTGGCAGAGAGGCCTGGCTTAACCCTGCTCACATGCATCACGGGCAACACATTCCAGGATGTTTTGCCTTTTCTCCACAAGATTCTGACGGGTCAAAATAACAGCAACGAAAATCTTTTCATAGGGTTATTTGTGTTTTCCTCACCAGCAATAATATAACCCCCACCAGGATTGCTCAGGCCCGTGCTAGAGAGCACTCTCGCTCCGAGGCAAGCTAGCTGGCAAACAAATAAATGTTCATATGTCTACAGCCTATTCTGAAACAGCTTCTTCCTCAGTCTTTTTAGCTGACACTACCCTTCTCTGCTTGGAAATCAAATATTCATCAAGAAGATGTGGAGTGCTCCTTTGGGATACTAGATATTTGCACTGAGGCTCCCACAGCCAGTCTTTTCTTTTTCTTCAAAAAAGAGACTTTAAAGCCTGGCTTTCTTCCCAAATACAAACGCAGAATCTGGATCCTTCAGGTTTTTCCACAGCTTGGGAGGACTGGATGCGGGTAGGAACACATTCAGATAATAGATCCTGAACTAGCTCCCAAACACACAGCCGTGCTCCCGTTCTGGGGCTCTCCTGGTCATCCAGGAGACTCCATCCACTCCATCCACATCAGCTCCAYCAAAACTGATGACTCTGCTGAGGTCCTTTGCTACAGTGTAAAGGAGAGATGAATCGAGCTCCCATATGTTGATTTGCAACCATTTTCTGAGGTTATGATCGCTCATATTCTTCATCTGTTTTCCTAGGAAATCGCCTTTTTTATTATTATGATATACTTTCCTTCATTATTTAGTGCTAGTTAATAGTGATATATTAACTAAAGTCTATTACATAGATACATTATTTGATAGCCTAACTTAAGCCTAAAATGAGTCTGATGAAGTGTTGCTAACTAGATGTTCTGGTGCAAAAAATGAAAGCATAAAAAACATTTATTTTTTAGCCTGTATTACAAAACTATCAAGCATATAACCAGCTCCAATACAGGCTTCTCAAGCTGAAAACTTTCATTTTATTCAAGAACAGTCCTGAAAATGCAAACTGTTCTGTCACTACTAATTCAAATAAAGGTATAGGAAGAACATTGGGTCATGACAACCATGTCTTCTGCTCCCACTAAAGTACATACAGATGCTACACTAACCAGATAAAAATTAGAATAAAAAWGTTGCATATCTATATCAAATATTTAATAGGACTTGGAGCTCCTCCTTTCATTATATATTTTATTAAATATATAATGCTACAAGAAACCAACTCTCCCACAACCCTTTTTCTTCTAGTTTAAGGCCCACAGTACAGATTAGCAATGCAAAACGTTGTAGTTTGGATTATCATCCATTCTACTGCTTTGACAAAGGCACCACAGAAATATATGTTACAATGTTTTATTTTGTGTAAATAGTAGACCTTTTTAAGCAATGAACCAGTAAAGCAAATGAAGTCCTGTACCAGGAAGCATTTTTTTTTCTTCCCCATCATATGTAATGCTCTCTTTTAGCTATTTTCTCATGAAATCACAGTCAAGAAGAAGAGTAACACTTTTTTATGGAACTATTCACATACTTGAATACACATTTGAATTTTGAATTCCATTTTCCAGAGTTAATAGTCTTGCACAACAACAAATATATTCCTGTATATATCTCCTGTATCACATATATCTGTGTATATATCTCCTGTAAGATCCTCATCTTCCCTCTGTCTTTTAATGCCTCTTAAAGTGTTTTTCATATTTGCTTTTTCCCCCCAAATTTATCATTACTACAGATCCTTGCCAAGATATGACAGCAAGAAGTACTTGAAATTCAATTTCATTCCCGAGCCATGCCGTATTTTCCATAGTTTGTCCTCACACAAGAGTTTTGCTAACTCCTCTCGCATCCTACTAGAACCTCTCTCAAAATTGATCAACAACAGGGACAGAAGACTAGAGAAATAGTGTTTCTACACAAAATAAATGGTGCAAAATAAATAACAGGCTGCCCAGGGAGGTTGTGGAGTCTCCTTCTTTGGAGATCTTTAAAACCCGCTTGGATGCAGCCCTGTGCCACGTGCTCTAGGTGACCCTGCGTGAGCAGGGGGGTTGGACTCGATGACCTCTGAGGTCCCTTCCAACCTTGGGCATTCTATGATTCTATATTTAATTTGAATGTTGAAACCGGGTAAGTTAATGAGCACTTGAAGCTGAAGGCCAGGGAAGCTCCTCAGAGGGCAGGTGAGACCCGGGCGCAGCTACTCACCCATGGGCCAGTTGTCGTACACGTGCTTGGCRATATCCGCAGCAGAGTCATTGGGGGAAAAGAGGAACTCTTTCGTCTTGCCGCTTACCAAGATGAGGCGCAAATTTATCTGCGAAGAAAAGGCAATATTGGGAAAACAGACATAGAAGACTTAAGATAGAAGAGTCAAAGAGCACTGGTAGTGAATCTTCTTGAATGAATTTCAAGGCTCATGGGGGAAAAAGTCAAAAACAGACAGAAAACATCACATACAACAACAAAAGAAAACCCCATGGAAATCTGCATCTCTRCATTCTGAGTATCACTGAAAGCCCTAACGGTATAAAATAGGGCTTTTAAAACTCCCTCCAGTCTGGTATTTCCTACACTGATTTCATACTCAYTATCTCCTATAAAATGCCACGGAGCTAAATGGCACCCTGCCTAGGGGGSACCTACCACACATCTCCAAATCCATCTTCCCAACGCAAAATTTGGTTGCAAGTTGGCCTGTTGCTACAAGGAAAACAGTTATCTTCCCTACAGTTAAATATAATCACTTTAAAAAAAAAAATGTTTAATTTCTTTTATCTAATGAGCAGCAGCTTCAGCCATAATCTTCCCTTCTAACTGGAACTTACTGACTGCAATCCTTTTCCTATATAGCATTAAAATATTCTGCATAAGAGTTCATTATGACATCGCAAGAAAAAATAAATTTTGGCTCGTCAAGCAATGGCTAGTGGGGTTAAAAATTATGGGGGTAGCGGGCATTTAACAGTGAAAAGTCAGACTGCATGACTGCAAAAGTCATCTTAAGTTGCCAGAAAGTTCATTCTTGCTGGAATTTAGGATTTTTTTCTTTTCTMTATCAAATATAAAAGGAAAAAAAAAATCCTGACATTTGTGCCCAGCTTTCAGATTTCAGCAMGGATGAAGATGTCAGCACCTTAGGACCCAGCCTTGCTTCATTTATCCATCCCCTGTTCATGCCAGCAGCTTGCCAGATAGATCATCTGTTCCCTTCTAAACACTTTGGCTCCGATTCACACCTCCCATCTTTAACACCTAATGGAGGCATCTAAATTAGGATCTCCATCATCCTGCACACGCTATCCATGTTAGTGGAAAGAAGGATGCCCTCCAAAAAACATTCAGTCTTTATTTCAAGGTATAAGGGCAAATTTTTGCAAGGGCAAAAACGAGTTATCATAAGGTGGCAGCTTCCCCTCCCTGCCTCCCATTCAGCTCCTGTCAGAAAATAAAATCTCCACCATGAACACAGGCAGGAACACAAGTGGATGCTGTTTCTGGGGCAAAGCCCATGGCCAGTTTCACACTCTCACTGTCTGCACGTAACAAGGGAAAAACAAAATCCACAAATATCTTAAAGGGCAGAAACTGTGGGAGTGCTGTTTAATCAAAGGAGTTTTTCAGCCAATTCAAAATAAACCTGGTTAGAAGCATGAAGACTGCATTTCCTTCGCTATTTCTAGAATAATTAAGAATTACTTTCAAATCTTACCACGATTTAGGAGAAAAAAAAAAAAAGACTAAGTTCTACTACTACCGTTTATTCCAAAACCGAGCCTGCTCTGATGAATGAGAACCTTCAAGCCTAAATACAGCAGCGTCCAGACTTGCCCACTTGTTTTGCTTATATTATCTTYCAGTTGAAAGAGTTTTTAACCCCCAGAGCTGCCTCCCCCGGGGATTTACAGGGCACGCTCGCGGAGGCAGCTCTTCAGCAGGGCTACCCAGGACGAGCTCCTGGAGCCCTCGCAGCCCTCGAGAAGCTCTGCTTCACCCAGCCTGGTAGTTTGCAGTTGCATGTCTCCATTCCAAACACTTCTCTCCCCTCACAAGAGACGACTATTTCTCAAGCACACTGGCTGATGTCTCAGCAGATGCTTGCACACAAGTGATTTCCTTGCTCTCCTGGAAATATCCCCTTTGATTGCCTGCCAGCACTCCAGAGAGGCCACAACCACGCTGCCCAGGTAGCTCAGTGCTGGAGGGAACTTCTCCACTTMCATCATTTCTAGTTTTCGGCCTCCAAGCTCAATTGACATTTTGGCTTCAATGCCCTAAGGTGAACGGTTCTGTATTTCATCCTACTTACATTATGCCTTCAAGAGAAAGGAAGGAGTTTAGGTTGAGGTGGGCCAAACCTCACTTTGTCCCTCAGAAATACTTATAAGAGATCTCCCCCTTTGACTTCCTATGAAACCACCCACAAATATATCTGGATAACATTCCCTTCCCTCTAAGTGAACAGTACTTTTCCAGCTTCATGTGATCAACAAATTTGAGCAGTACAATCAGGTCCCCTTGTCATGAAATAACTCAGATGGAAGAGAGATTTGATGGTCCATAAGCAATTCCAATAATTCTCTCTCTCTCTGATCCACCTTCCCTCTTTCTCAATCTGTCCATAACCTCTGTTAGGTCCTTATATTCTCACAATACCTCTAATTTCTCTTATTTAACCAACATCTTATAATATGGCACCCGATTAAATGCTATGCTCATTTTCAGGTGAAACCATACAAATTTCTACTTAGAAAAAACAATTTTTTATCAAAAGCCTGTTTGCCATCATCCACCTTTCATAATGGCACATGTTATATTCTCTTCCATTTTCTCTATACCTCATTATCTTTAATTATCCTTTAAGCCTAAAGGCAACTCGCTGCAACACTGACATACTGCCAAAGAAAAACTAGGAGGTTTAGACTGCATCAAACAGTGTAGCACTGTGTTTGGGAACAGGATACCTGTTTAAAAATAAACATGCAAATCCCAAATATTCATCAGCGATGCTGCGGGATGCTTTAGTGGATAAAATGAGGAGCCTTCTTCACCACTTGCCTTCCTGCCTCTCCTTCCCTGCTCTCCATTTACTCCATCCCCCATGAACTCCTGATCCTCCACAGCTCAATTTTATGAAGGTTATCCCAAGATTTATTTTCAATTATTGGTGTATTTTATTTGTGGTGGGGATTACATATTTTGAGGAACAAAACACTTCCCTAGGCAATAAGCTTTTATGTCACCRAAGTGCCAGTATCTAGAATGGTCTGACTTGGAGCCTAGAATTGATGATAAAACAAGATAATAATAATAAAGAAGAAAATCATGGAGAAACAACTGAAACTAACTTGGCTTCCTGCAAATTTGATTAAGTCATAGTTCTGCAGTTAATATACAGTTAATGTAATTGTATAGTATAATATATAATATACAATTAAACAAAATCAATATCAGGAACAGGAAAAAGGCAGTGGGGGAGAATTAGTTCCTTCTCAATACAGACAAAACTTCAACACTGATGAGTTATCAAGTTACTGCTGAAGAGTCTCTCATTCTTGCTACCAAATATACAAGATGATACTTCAAGAAAAAAAAAATCAGTAATTTGACAAGTTAACAAAAAAGTATGTATAAAATGTTAGGTTATTTCATTAAAAAAAACCCTCAAATAGCAACAGAAGCCCAAAATAAACCCTTAAATCAGTGAAGCAGATGTTACATCAAATATAAGGAAACAGCTGCTCTAATGAGAGGTTAACTTTTTTTTTTATTTATAGTAGTGCATACCACTGACACATTTACTTTGCATGTTTGTCTGTTTTTTTTTTTTATATATATATATATATATATATATATATATATGCACACACAAATATTTCAGTTTGGACTTTAAGGAATCTTACCCGTCAGCTGCACATCATGCTTTCTCAAGGAATTTTAAGACAGGATTCCCAAACCTTGCCTTAAATTTCAAGTCTAATCCTGAAGCTCCCCTCCAGAGGATAAGCAGCGCTACTGGCTTATTACCACTATATTTCTTACTCTGTGAACCTAAGGGGTTAAGAATGCATTTTCAAGGAGAGGGTAGGAGATCTGGAAAATGGTTTTGGCAAAATACCATGGGTGGAAGTTGGCATATAAAATGAAAAGAGTAAATGTTAGAGGATGTGCATGTGCTTACTGGAGGAAAGAGCAGAAAACACAACCTTGCTTATGATTCTCAGTCTTCTTAGCCTTATATATTACAGGTTATATCATATTTCATAACTTAAAGTTGCAATAAAATTGCATCTTTACCCTTTACAGACCATATGCTTCCAGCTCTTACACACATTCTTGTAGAAGGAGCCTTGGTTCTGCTACATTTTTTGTGATTCACACGACCGTGACAAGTTTGCTCTTCCATGGGCCCAGAACAATGACTGCCCTGGTTTCCTTTCGTTTGTTTTGAGGTTTGGGGGTTGGTTTTTGTTTTGTTTTGCTTTTCCACAGGGCTGCCAAAGGGAATTCCAGGCTTTTGCTACAGCGAGCAGAGTAAGGATCACACACTTCCATTTCTGCACTGCAGCATGGGCTGGGTGGTTACCAACGARAAAGCAGAGCCAAATGTGATCTGTTGGAGCACGGCCACTGCGTGCAGTTGCATAATGGCATTTTCTGCTTGTGATGCCAAGCTGGCCTAACTCCTGGGCCTAACTCTTAACCTAACGTCTGGGCCCCTCCCTGCCAGCTTCACACTCACAGCTCCTGTAGCCATCCCAGCAGTCGCACCCCACACGCAATACAGAGCCGTAAGGTCACGCGCACTGTGAACGTCCCCTCCAAAATAACTACACATAAAAGACACTGGTAACACTTCCTGAGTAACTGCAACTTAAAAAAGGAAAAAAAAAAAAGAGTCATGTACAGGCAGTTGTGGAATAAGTTTCATTTTCTTTGGCATCAGCATATGCAGAGCTTTGTTTGCTCTGTGAAATCCCTTAGTATCGCAGTGCTTCTAATTTCAGGGCTGACTGGATGAGAGGTTACCTAAACACCAMGAAACAAGGGTGTTACAACCTGCAGAATATTTCTGAAAATTTAAACAACTTCACATCTATTCAAATAACCAAGTTATCTTGGTTATCAAGTGCTCCCATAGCAGCTTAAGACTCTTCTAAATTACATTAAGATGTAGAGGAAGAAGAATGTCATGATACACATGCTGTACAACCAAGTTTAAACTATTTCCTCTTCTTCARCTATTTTGAAGATTTAAAATTACATATACAACTTTTCTTCAAAATTCTTCAATACAGATTGAAGAAAAAATTTTCT